GGGGGGCGGGGTGAGGTGGAGTTGGAACAGAGATGGGCCTTGGGGCTTGAACTGGAGCTCTGGGCCAAGGCCAAAGTGGGTAGGAAGGGCCAAGGGAGGCTGGGTTGTCCCTCCCAACCCTTTCCTTGGCCACCCCAAGTGGGTTGGAGTCCAGATATTTCTCAAAGTGAAATCATTTTAATTCCCATGAGTCTAAAAACAGGGTATGATAAAGCCTTTATCATCTTAAGGTAACAAATCTGATCCTCTTCATTTCTTCTCTGAGCCTCACAACCACCCCGTGGGGTTAGGAAGGGAGCAGTTTTCCTCCTGCCTAATTGGGCAGAAGCTGAGGCTCAAGAAGGGTGAGAGTTTAGCCAAAGTCGCCCCACCTATGTGTCCTCTCACACCAGTGCTTCTGACCTCAGGGCGCTTGTTGCTGGTGGTGGGCATGGCACACCCAGCCCTGGAGTTGGTGTGTCAGGATCCTGGGTCTCACCTGCAGGTTGTCCCTGAGTCAGTGGCTTCATCTCTCTGAGCCTCCCTTTCCTTGAAGGGAGGATATAAGGTGACTTTGGCAATGATGATGTTCTCCTGAGCATCACGGTGCCATGACCTACTCTTGCCCAGACAGCTGGGGGAGTCAAAGTTGGCCACCACAGTGACTGGAGACCCTTCTCGATGCCCCAGACTCCACCAGCCAGTGGATGTCTAACTCCCCTGTTCTGATGTGACCCTGCAGTCTGGGCACGGTCATCAAACACCCAAGCCTCCCTCATGTCCAGAGCTGGGGCCTCTGGATTTAAATCTCAGGCCCCCAATTCAGACCCAAGTTCCTTGACCTTAAGTTCCAGCCACCACCCTTCCTATCCTCTCCAGTGAAGAGATGGCCTTGATGCTGACCGCCCTTTGTTTCTCTCTCCCATCCCCGTCTCCTCCTCTTCCTCTCCCACGCCTCTCCCTCACGTCTGTTTTTCCCTATTATCTCGCGCAGCCTCTCCATGTCTCCCACCCTCCTCCATTTCCTCCTGTCTCTCCTCACCTGTCAACTCTCCTCTTCCCTCCTCTCCTTCCTCGTGTCTCCCGACTCCTTTCCCATGCTCCCCCGCCCCTACTGGCAGGTGGCAGTTCTGAGTTCACAGGTGCCTCTCCTATGAGGGCAACTCCGCCTCATCTCTGAGCCAGCCCCCTCCCAGTGGCCCTGCTGAGTGGGGACAAAAGGTATCTGTGTGGCAAGCACTGGACTCCCTGTGTGCATCTGGGCTTCAGGAGGCTTCGCGCACTGGCTACAAGCTGCTGTGCTTTGCACTGAGTCTAGCCGATGCCTATGTGTTCTCAATGGCACTACCTTCACTTGGGACACCTGTGGCCCCCGTGCCCTGCTGCTGGCCTGGCTGGAGGTGTGGTGGAGCTGGAGGCAGCCTGGCTCCGCTGTGTGGGGAAGGGCAAGGGTGCTTACCCCAGCTCACCTACCACCAACCAGTGTCAGGCACCCAAGGGACAGCGGCCTGAGCTAATTGGATGGCTGGGTGGCATGTCTAGATGCCAGGCACTTGGAGCAGGTGCCAGAGGCTCTGAAGGACATGACGTGAAGGGCCAGATTTGAGGTCAGCAGCCTCCCCACTCAGAGGCCCCTGCCTGGAGCCCAGCAGGCACACAGAGCTCTATGTCAACTTTCCAGGCTGGGGGAGTGGGCTATTCAAAAGAATAAAAAAAAGGACAAAAAAACCAAAAATTTTTTTAAAAAATTGTGTTAAAATAGACATGACATAACATTTTCCATTTTACCCATTTTTAAGTGTGCAGTTCAGCGGCACTAAGCACGTTCACATTGTTGTGCAACCATGACCACCACCTATCTCCAGAAATTTTTCATCTTCCTAAGCTGAAGCTGCACCCCCAGTGAACACTACCTCCCCGTTCCTCCCTCCCCCAGCCCCTGGCACCCACCATTCTACTCTTGCTCTCTACAGATTTGACTAGGAATGGGTCTTTCTTGCCCACCCCCCTTCCAACTCCACACAGGCTTGTTCTCTGGGAGCTCCCTGCCCCTGTCCTTCCCCACCTTCCCTGGTCCCTTCTCTCTCTCCCATGGCTTCACCAGGCTGCCGCCACCACTCTGCTGCACCTGCCACGGTTTGCGCTCTGCCCCTTCCCCTGGGTTCCTCTCGGAGGACCCCATTCTCCTGACCTTCCCCTCAGCTCTGCTCCTGCTCACGTGGATGTCTTTACCTCCTGGGGCCCCGCAGGTGCTCTGGATTCTGCCCTGACACTGCTCTGGAGAGGGCCACTCCATCCAATGGCTTTCTCTTGCTTCTCACCCAAATTGGCCTGTCTATACTATCTGATGCTTCTGGCCACTGTCCCTTCCTCCTGTCATGAAGTTCTCTCTTCTCTCCGTCTCTGAGAGAGAAGCGAAAAAGCTCAGGCTTTGGAGCCCCAGAGATCGGGGTTCAAATCCTAACACTGCCCTTCCCTGGCTTGAACTCTGGGCATGTCTCTCCCTGTCTCCAAGCCTGTTCCCTTATCCCTAAAACAGGACAAGTTATGTGGACCTCACAGGGCGGTCGTGGGGATTAAATGAGTAACCGGGATAAGCGCCCAGCAGTGTGCCGGCAGAGCACAGGGGTCAGCAACTGCCTTTCCCTCTTGGCTCCTCTGCTGGCTGCTAACCCTCCCCATGGACCTTAAATGGAAGGCTGTCTCCCTCTCTGTTCTCTTCTCTCGTTCTGGCTCTCTCATCTATGGATTTAGAGGTCACTTGTTACCTCTTTTCTAACTACTCTTCTCTCCTGAGTGTCACGTCCCCGATTCCTGGTGGGACGTCTCCATCTGGATGCCCCTTGGGTGACCACCACCCCTTCCCCTGACGCCTGGGTTGAGAAGCTCTGAGTCATCTTGGACTCTCCCTACTTCCTCTCCTCCTCTGACAGGTAAGCAGACACCCGGTCCTGCCATGTGCCTCGGAAATGCTGTTCGGATTCCCTCCTCTCTGCGGTTCTGGCCTTCGTCGGCTCTTCCTTCGACTGTTGCAATGATGTCCCAGCTATCTTCCAGGCCAGCTAACATTCATTCCTCCTCATTTCAGTATAGCCAGTTCCAAGACGGTTCATCCTCTCAGTTATGTCGCACACTCCCCGTCGCCTTAGAATATTTCCAACACAGCCTTCCAGCTTCTCAACAGTTCTATCACCTACACTGTCTTCTTTTTGCTTCCTCTATTGTTTTGTAAAGTGTCCCAAAGCGGTTACAGATATGACATTCCACCCTTAAATATTTTAGTATACATCTTTAAAGAACAGTGTACTCTTCCTATATAATCAGACTATCATCATAGCCAATAAAATTACTTTCTCATGTCAAATTCTCAGTCCATTTTCAAATTTCCCCAGTTGTTCCCAAAATGTCTTTCACAGTTGGTTTGTTCAAAGACCAAGCATTATACTTGGTTGTTACGCGTCTAAAGTTTCTCAGTCTTGACTTCAGACCACCTTCCTCCTGTCGTCTTTCACAACATCCTTCCCTTTGGCTTCGCTTTGAGCCCTTTGAACCAGCCAACCCCAAGCTACAGGGACTTTTTAAACTACTCCTTTTTTATACTTGGCCCTTTCCTTGTCCCTGGAACTGACAGGTGCCCCTTTATTCTCTAAGGTCACCTCAGAAATCACCACCCACCTCTGTGAAATTCGTTCTTTTTCTTTTCCCTCCCTCTGAGCTGGTCCAGCTGCCAGCAGGGGGTCCGCCTCTGTTCACAGGGTGGGCTTGGTTCTGCCTGCTGGCAGAGGGCAGGGCCACTGTCTTCCTCGCCTTGCTGGTCCCATGCCTAGCACATGCCGGGCATCTAGTGGCAGCACAATAGAGAAACTGATGAATACTCCTTTCTTCAGCATCTTCGCTCCTCCTCCAGTCTGCCTGCTGTGGTAACTCGGCAGTAAGGTCCAGAACGGGCTTGATGTGTCTTGCTGGAAGGTTGTAATCCTGGAAACTGGTTCTCAGCCCAGCTCAGATCTCCTTTCTTTTGCTCTTACAGTTTCTTTCCTTCTTTGTGTACACACACCAAGACTCAGAAAGTGGTTCTTGAGGCGGGACCATAAGAACCTAAGGGGCGGGGCCCTGGCTGGGGGCGGGGGCTGTTTCTGTCCCTGGCTTGTTCACACAGCTCCTTCTGGGGACCACCATGGCACACAAGGGAGAGAAGCAGCTTGAGGACGCCACCTCCCCTTCCAGCCCTCACTTGGCTTTGCCCATTGGAATGAGAAAGGCTGTCAGCTAGGATGGCAGGGACAAATCCAGGGGATATATGCCATGCCCACCTTAGTGTCCTCCCCGATGCCCGCACCAGGACGGGCTGATCCAGGACTGGTCGGAACACGGACCTTGTGAATCCTCCCCCGGAGGGAGGGACCGGATTCTCAAGCGTCGCGATTTGACTGGGTAGGATGGCCCCGGAGAAGGGCTTCCTCCCCTTCTCCGCCCACTACTCAGGAGCCCTAGAAAATAGAGAAGGCACTAACAGAGGGGGAACAAGAACCCCCACTCTAGAATGTTGGGGGACTCCCAGGACGTGAGGTCAGCGACTTTCTGGAAGTGTTTATTCTGGCCCCACCCGATCCCAGGGAGCCAACGGCGCCCTCTGCTGACTGGGGGATGGGAGTGGGGGCTTGAACTGAGATGGAGCCACAGGCAGGGAGTGGGCTCTGGGTGGGAGATGAGGAGGCCTCTGCTTGACCATCTTGTCACCTTGCCTCAGCTGTGCCGCCCGGCCCGGGCACTCAGAGGGTAGCTCTGGGCCGCTGACCCCTCCTTTGGCTCCCACGCGTCTCCTCCGCTTCCCTGACCCAGAGGGCACGAGCGGCGCTTCGTCCCGCCCTCCTGCCCCGGAGCGGGCTGGGGGCGCCAGTAGGGCCCAGGCGCCGTGAGGTCCGGTCCCGGGGACCCTCCCTGTCCGGGTTTGGGCGCTGTCCTCCAGGTAGGGGCCACGTGGCCCTGGCCGGGCGGGGGGCTCGGCCCTCCCCTCTCTGTCCGGGTGACTCAGGCCGCAGCTGTTCCCGCGTCACATGAGGGAGGCTGCCGGCCACTGGGCTGGGGAGGCGGCGGGGGAGGGGGCTGGAGGCCGGGGCGGGGCCGCGGGCGAGCGAGCGGGGCGGGAGCGGGGCCCGCCGCTAGAGAGCCCCGGACCGCGGCGCGAGAGGAGCGAGCCTCGGGGAGCCCAGGTGAGGCGCGGGCCTGGCCGACTCGGCGAGGGGGGCACCCGGGCCTCCGGAGACCCGCCCGCGCTCCGGCCGCTCCCGGGGTCCTCGCGACTTTGCAACTTTGAAAAGTTCCAGAGCCCGGGCGTGCGGGCGGGGTGGGGCGGCGGCCGGCCTTCTTTGGAGGTGGTCCGAGCCCGGGGAGAGGTGGCCCGGGGCCGGGCTGGGGCTGAGGACCGGTTTCCGGGGCTGGTTGGTGGGGAGGGGGTGTTAGACGCCGGGGGATTGGCGGCCGAGGGTGGGCGTCAGGCTGGGCCCCACCGGCGCCATCCGATCGGTCCCTGGCCCGCTAGGCTGCGGGGCGGGGTCCGGGCTTCGCGGCGGCCGCCCCCACCCCTCTCTGGCCGGGAAGAGGGGGCTGGGAGACGTGGATCCGACCGCGGGTTTCCGGGTGGGAGGGGCCGGAATGGGGGCCGGGCAGGGAAGGCCTCGAGGGCCGGCGGGGAGCCCGGAAACTGAGGTGCCCCCTCGGCCGGCTCTAATCCCCCTGCCCTTCCCTTGGCGCAGGCCCGGCAGCCATGGCGGTGGAAGGAGGAATGAAATGTGTCAAGTTCATGCTCTACGTTCTTCTGCTGGCCTTTTGCGTGAGTGGGCAGGGGCCCTGTCCGGGCGCGCTGGCGGGGTGCAGGGAGACCTGGCTGCGGAGTGCTGAGGGCTGAGGGACCAAGAATGAAGGCAGCTGGAGACCAGATGTGGAAGGAAAGCCCGGCAACGGGCTGAAGACTGCACGGCCACCCCCTCCCTCCAGCTTTCAGGGGCCTCTGAGGCTGGTTTGGACCAGAATGGCCAGTCTGGGAGCGCAGCGCCTTCCCCCAAGCCCCTTCTGGCCCTTCCTGTTTGGTGACCCAACCTCGTGTGATGTGGGCAGTGGGGCAACCAGCCAACGGCCTGATGCTATCTCCGCGGGGCTTCTCTCCGCTCCCCATTCTCCTCTCTCCATTCTCCCCCGCCCACCCCTCATTCCTCTCCATTCCCTCCTTCATCCCTCTTCACCCTTCCCAGCTGCTAGCGGGTGGGGAAGCGCTCTGCCCACCTCAATTTGCTCCTGCCCTGGGCTCCTGGCTTGAGAGGCTGCTGTTTGTCTGGGGGGAGCACCCCACTCTTGCCCACTTTTTTCTACTTCCTTCTCCTCGCTGGTCTAGCTGGCCTGAGGAACCCTAGTCTCAGCTCATGAGGATGGGGTGGGCATCGGAGGATAGTGAGAGGGTATTTTTGGGAGCCCTGGAGGGAGCACTACTCTTGGTTGGGAACATATGCCCTGGGATCAAGGCTTTCTGGGAACTTCTCTTTTTGTACTTGCTCAAACTGTGCAGCAGGGATGGGTCATCCTCCCCCTCCCCACCCCCGCAGTCAAAAGTTTCCTGGAAGTGTGAGAATCTGTTTCTCTCTGATGGCGTTAAGTCTGTGTCCTGGGTGCACCCGCTGCCCTCCACCGTGGAGGGCTGATGGGTTGTGGGTCTAGGCCTAACCCTGACCTGCCCTCCCCGCAGGCCTGCGCAGTGGGTCTGATTGCTGTGGGTGTAGCAACCCAGGTGGTCCTGAGTCAGACCATCATCCCGGGAGCCACCACTGGCTCCCTCGTGCCCGTGGTCATCATCGCAGTGGGTGCCTTCCTCTTCCTGGTGGCCTTTGTGGGCTGCTGTGGGGCCTGCAAGGAGAACTACTGTCTTATGATCACGGTGAGTGGGCTGTGGAGCCGGTGTGGGTGCCTGGGACTACTGGAAGGGCAATTCTATGGAGGGGACGCACGAGGGTGGCTGGGAAAAACCTTTGTCGGTGTTCCAGAGACTGGTGGGCCACAGCAGGCCCCTCTCACCCAGACTCCAAACCTGACCCCCACCCTTTGCTCCTGCAGTTTGCCGTCTTCCTGTCTCTTATCACGCTGGTGGAGGTGGCCGCAGCCATAGCTGGCTATGTCTTTAGAGACAGGGTAAGCGGGGCCTGAGGGGAGGGCCCTGCCTCAGGCCTGGCTGCTCTGGGGCCCAGGTGCCCAGAATTCTGACCTGAACAATGCTCCTCCCTGCTCCCAGGTAATGTCAGAATTTAGTAAGGACTTCAAGCAGCAGATGCAAAATTATCCAAAAGACAACCACACTGCTTTGATCCTGGACAGGATGCAGGAAAAAGTGAGTGGGGCTGCTGGGAGCAGAGGTGGCCAGGGAGGAAGCGTCTCCTCCCCAAACTGAGGGTGGACGCTCACCGAACAGCCCTCTTCCGTCTCTGTCCTCTCCCCCAGTTCCACTGCTGCGGCGCAACTAACTATACTGACTGGGAGACCATCCCTCTCCCGGTCAAGGGCCAAGTCCCTGACTCCTGCTGCGTCAATGTCACTCAGGGCTGCGGGACTAAGTTCACCGAGAAGGACATCTATACCAAGGTAGGGAGGAGGCTGAGACCGCAGGAGATTTGCAGAACCTGGCGAGAGGGACCAGGGGTGGAGGTGGAGAGGGCTGGGGCTCTGGAAGTTGGGGGTTGGGGATGGGGAGGGCACCAGGGTGTGCTAGGGGTGGGGTAAAAGGTACAGAGGGCAGTGGGTGGCAAGTTTCTGATGGTGTTCTTGCCTTTTGTGCCTGCCACCCTTCAGGGCTGTGTGGAGAAGATTGGGGGCTGGCTGAGGAAAAATGTGCTGGTGGTGGCTGCAGCAGCCCTGGGCATTGCCTTTGTGGAGGTGAGAGGCACCCTTGGGACTCAGGCCAGGGCATCTGGGCAGGAGGGGCAGCAAGGAGGAGGGTGCTGAGCAGGAGGTGCTGGCCTGGGGAGGGGAGCCCTGGCTGTGTTTGGGGTCTCTTGGGTGGGTCCGGGGTCCCTCATCCCTCTGACTGTTGTCCACCCGCCTCTCTGTCTCCTAGGTCCTGGGAATTGTCTTTGCCTGCTGCCTTGTGAAGAGTATCCGAAGTGGCTATGAGGTGATGTAGGGGGTCTGGTCTCTTCAGCCCCCTCATCTAGGAGAATGGGGCAGTGTACTCCAGGTTTTTCAATTAAACGGATTATTTTTCCAGACCAAAAAGAGAGAGAGTCTCACTTTGTCTTAAAGAGTGATACTTCCTCCCTTCTCTCTCCTCATCCACGTTCCTGTCCTCTGGGACCTTGTTCTAATTGCGCCTCTGGGAAAGGCAGGCCTGTTTTGGGGGGTATTGGGAAAGGAGTGTAGTGGAAGCAGCGACCTGGAGGAGGCCGTGGCCCACTGCCCTCCCTGTCTTCTAGTTGTGTGCTGCCAGGCTCAGTGCTGAAGCGTTCATGAAGCTCTCTCCTGCATAAGTCAAAGGGATTCCCCACGAAGGTCCTACCTGGGAGAGGCCTGCCCACGTCTACCATGGACATCTTCTCCCTGGTCCTTTGCCCACTTTAAGGGCCTAGAAACTCCCTCCCCCACCAAGGGGGCCTGGCTCCTTTCAGGGTGGTGACCTGTGTGGCCAGTGTCCATCCTTCTTGAGTTTGATAGGAGAATTTAGTGGATACGGCCTTTCTTCCATGGAAACCACCCAGCCTGGCCCTTACCACTTTTCACCACTTCCCTTGCACCCTCAAGAAAAACAGATAATGGCCATTTCCACTCCAGACACTGAATTGTGACCTTATTCCACGTAGAAAAGGAAAGTCCAACAGTGCCTTCTGGTGGCCATTCCTCCAGGTGCAGCTTCAAAGATCATCTACAGATGCGACAGTCCCCCTGCAACCCCCAGTGGGTGCTAGTTGTTTTGCAGGCACTAAACAGGCCACAGACCTTGGGCAGTAAGTGAGCAGACAGTAGTTAGCACTTAAATGGGGTCAGTTTCCCACTGAGCACTTTCATTTCTGCCCACCTATGGTGTTTTTTAAAACAATTTACATTTATTGAATGCCCATTTTGTGCCAGGCACCAGGCAGTACCAGGGTGGGGACAGACATAAATCAGAGTCTGCCCTGGAAGAAAAATGTCTTGCTGGAGGGCAGGACTCAGTAGATGGCATGGGCAGGCTTGGGAAGGACCCAGGTGAGCATGGCATCCACCAGGCTGGCTGGCAGGTAGGAAGCTGGCAGCCAGAGCAGCTTGGCGTCCCAGCCTGGGCTGTAGCGGGTCCTGGGGTGACGAGCAGTCAGGGCATGCTCCAGGCACTTGCTCACCTTGGTCAGGTCCGGGTCACAGAGCAGGTTCATGATGCGCTGCTGCACCTTCAGGTCTGCAGCCCAGTGGGTGGTTATAATCAGTGTCCCTGTCCCACTCCAGCCCACCTCAGGCCCTGTCTTTTGGGTCCTGGGGCTGGTGGCCCAGCGGATGTGAGAAGGATCCTTAGTCCCCTCCCTAAGTTGGAGAGTGGGCAGGTCCCATATGGCCTGCTTTCCTGTGGCATCCCATCACCTGGCCCCTCCCGCCTCCTCCCGCGAGTGATGCGCGACTGGCCCTTCTGGCTCTCGTTTCCCTTCATTCGTCCCTACGTGGGCCCAGCTACTCACACTTGGTGAGGAAGGCCTCCCCATAGTGGGCCTGTGTGGCTGGAGGGAGCCGTGCCCAGCAGGCCTGCAGGGCGTTCTCCAGACTCTTCAGGTTTGTCACAGGGGTTTGGAAGAAACCAGGCTCCACGATGGAGACTCGGACCCCAAAAGGAGCCACGTCCCGCCTGGAGTAGGGGCAGAGGGAGGCTTCTGGGTTCTTGCCCTTATAGGGAGGGGACCTTCAGGAACCTGGGGGCGGGGGGCTGAGATGGCGAAGTTATCAGAGACCACGGACAGGGGTCCTGATGGTGAGAGAGATCCCTGCTACCGTGGAGTGGAGGGGGAAGTGGGACAGAGGGAGGAAGGTATTTTTGAGGTTTCTTTTCCTTTATATTCTATGAGCTAGAGCAGGGAGGGCAAACTTCTTAAAGGAAAAGAGTAAATACTTTAGGCATTGCAGACCTAAAAATTAATGAGGTTATGTAGGTACTTATATAACCATTTACAATGTAACTACTTAAAAATGTCAAAACCATTATTAGCTGTGGGTGGCTGGCTAGATCTGGCCTGAGAACCAGTTTACCAACTCCTGACCTAGGAGAACCCTATTCCCTAGCTCCCCAAACACGGTTTAGTTCTGAGTGCTGGATATGAAGGACTTGGTATTTGCTGGGGGGGAGAGTGGGGATACCTCCAGCCGCCCCAGCACAGATGCAGAAATCCAAGTATAAAGCATGTGTTCCATGATGCCGACTGGAAAATGAAAGGACTGAGGGACAGGGGTGAAAGTAGGGATGGAAATTATTTGCTGAGTGATGGTGACGAAGGCAGGCTTCCTTTAGAATGTGGGCTCGGCCTGTGGGACTGGGACTCCTGCTCGAAACTCAGGCCCTGCTCCTGTGTCGTTCTCGTGCTGCTGTGTGCTCTCACGGGGCTTTGAAGATTAGCACGTTATCGTCTAAAGGTGAGGGCAGGAGAAGATATGGAGCAGGCTCCACAGGCGAGCCGGCCTGGGGGCAGTCCCAGCACTTGCACTAACTGGTCTTGTGGTCTTGGGTAAGTCGTGTTACTCTAAGGGTACTAACACCTATCCTTATCTCTAAGGGTATTCATACCTGTCCATATTGGGTTGTTGGGAGAATTAAATGAGAAAATGGTACGTAAAGGTACTGACTCATCGGAACTAACAGTTGTTAATAATGACAGCAGCCTTTTTTGGGGCATTCTCCCTGTGCCAGGCAGTACTGTTGGGGCGTTCCATGTACCTCATTTCGCTCCCAACACCCCAAGGCAGTTCTCCTCACCCCAACTGAACAGATGAGGAATAAACTGGGGTGAAGAGAAGTAACCTATTACGGTCACAAAGCTCGCATGAGTGCCGGCTGGGATCTTAGCCCAGGTTGAGCCGTGACTGTCTCCTCTCAAGGATTCCACTGCCGCTGTGTTATAATCATCTCTGCAGGGCAGATACCAACTGGTTCGGCGAGTGCGCGGTCCTTGGGCTGGGAGGCCCGGCCCTGCGCCCTCACCTCAGGCTGTCCGAGAAAGCCTCCAGGCCAAACTTGGAGACACAGTAGCCCCCACCATTGGCTGCTAGGCGACCCAGGACACTAGTGACATTGATCACCCGGCCCCGGGCCTGCTGCAGCAGGGGCAGCAGGGCAAGTGTGACCCCGATGGGACCCAGTGTGTTCACATTCAGCACCCGGTGGAAATCATCCCGTGTCAGCCACGGTGTGGGTCCGATGATACCAGCCACACCAGCATTATTCACCAGACCAAAAAGCCCTGTGGGGAGATGAGACAGATGCAAGGGTAGGTAAGGCAGTCCAACGGCCCCTTTCCTTCCTGGGAGGATCTGAGCACTGCTCCCTCCTCGCGGAGTCCCTCTAGCTTCCCATGGCCCCTGCGAGGGAACACCCTACACCACGTTCCTGGCGGCCCCAGCCGTACTCACCTGCTTCCCCAACATGTGTCTCCACCCACTTGGCTGCCCGCTGGACACTCTGGGGATCAGTGACATCCAGCAGAGTGGTGTGGAGGCGGGAGGAGGCCACCCGCTGGAGGTCCTCTGCCCCTGAGGGGGTCAGGCAGCTGGCCAGGACTCGGAAGCCTCTCTGGTCCAGTCTCAGTGCCAGAAGCCGCCCGAAGCCTGAGTCACAACCCGTGATGAAGACGAAGGCATCGCTGGCGGGCAGGCTCTGCTGGTCCCTGAGCAGCCACAGCGCCACCCAGAGCAAGGTTCCCAGCAGCAGAGGCAGCCACATGCCTGGAGCCCAAGTGACCTGCAGGTGGCAGCTGAGGCCGGGTAGGAAGACTTGTCTAGTTTACTCTGGCCCTCAAGCCTTTGCCCCTAAAACCCCCACTGGTTGGAAGTCTCAAGTCCCAGCAGATTGAGAAATTATCTGCTTGGCAGACAACTGGCAAACCGTGGCTCATCAAAGCAAAGCAAAGATGTGGTGGACCCTCTATTTGTGGCTAACTTAACAAAAACCAGATCAGCCAGGTCCCGTGTGCAGACCTGCTGCACGGGAGCTGAGGGGTCCTGTTTGGCATCTTCGCTCCTGTGAAACCAGGGACACCTCACTCTAACTGTCAGCTGGGCTTTGTTTTTGGAAACATATGGGGCAAAGAGCCCTGCACTTTAATCCTGGTGGCCCCCAACCTACTGTGATGCTGAGCATTTCAGTGCATCTCTAAACCTATTTTCCCATCTACCAAGTGGGGCTAACACCCACCATACCCACCTGGGAGTTGTGGAGGACCAAAGGGGAGAATGTGTGAGGAAGCACGTTACCAGCTTAAAGCTCTGAGTTATCAAATACCTGTAATACCTGCTAGTCTTCTAGCACCCCGAGCTGCCCGTCCCCTGCTTACCTCCTCTAGGGAAAGCTGGCAGCTTCCACAAGGCCTGAAACTTCTTTTGCTCCGTTTGAGACTTTGCTCCCAGTCTTCCAGGCTCCCACACTAGCTACAGCTAAGGCCAAAGTCTGCAGTGTGGGGACTGGACGTCCGAAGTATTAAGTGTATGTGGGGTGGAGTGGGGGAGGGCCTGGGGGAGGAGCCAAGGGATCTTGGGGCTGGGACTGGGCCCAGGCCGGCAAGCCCAGGCCCTCTGCTTGGCTTTTTCCAGCCTCGGGTCCCGACCACCTCTGTCACAGACTCCCAGGAGGAGGGGGTCTGTCAAGGATGGCAGCTGCCCCCCTCTGTTGGTGACCTCAAACCTGTCATTCCTCCCCCTTCTCAGCCCTGAAGTGCCCCCACACCCGAGTTAATCTCCCACCTGGTCCAGACTCATGACACTGCTTAGCACCAGGCTGGGAGAGGCCACGAGCACGGGCAGAGGCAGAAAGCCAGAGCTGGGACCAGGCCTGCTCCCTGCCTTATTTCTCCTCTGCAGGAAACTGAAGGCCTGAGTTAGGAAGCTTGGGACAGGGCCCACTGACCTCTGGGGAGGTGTGGGAAACTCCCACCTCTGCTTCCTCACCAGGCACCTGCACCAGGCCCGAGGAGGAAAAGCAAGTTGGGATGGTAGGAGGAAGCTGGTTCCACCCTCTACCCAAAAGTGCCTGTCCCTTAGGGAAACAGCCTTTGAACCTTCCACCCCCACCCCCACGCTGAGGTAGTGGCTCCTTGAAATGAACCACAGAGAGATGGAGGATTGTGTTTTATTCATGGTCTGTGAGCCTCCCTCCTGCCCCATGGGGAGGCAGGAGGAGTGGGGAAGATGGGGAGGGCAGAGGGGCTAGGAGGGGGCAGACTGCAGCTGCCCCTTGTAGACGTATTCCAGTGCAGTGGCGATGGTGCGCATGTCCAGCTCGATGCTCCGAGCCCAGTTCTCCACATCCCCGATTTCCTGGGAGGAGGATGGGGTGGGAGCCCGGGAATCAGGGTGGGGAGAGTGTGGCTCCGGGGCGCTAATGGCATCACTTTCCAGCCATCCACTCGAAAGGGTTTAGCTTGGACCCACCAACTGCTTTGACCTCTTGCTTTAGTTTCTCTGACACTGGGGCCATAGACGGGATTTCCGGTACCATCCCCACTTCCTCCTTAACCACAGACCCGAGGTAGCCAATGGGAGCTCAGGATGGGGCTGGTGATATGGGGAGTGTGGCCCACCTTGAGTGCTTGGTTGAAGTTCTCCACCATCCCAATCCATTGCCCTGTCTGCTTGGCAAACTGGGCAGCCTGGACCTGTAGGGTCTTCACCTCATGGTCCAGCTTTCTCTGGTTCATGTAGGCCTGGGCCACACTAGAGATTGGAGGAGGGTGGAGGTCAACTGGTGGGGAGTGGCCTCTAGGACTAATATCCCAACGCAAGAGTAGGAGGCCAGCCAGGAGTCAGGCTGAGAAAAGCTCGTGATTTTGTCTATTCTTGGATGTGATGCAAATGACGACCAGTACATGCAAGTGAACCCCGTTCCTTCCTCCCACGCCCCAGGACAGCCTAGCTGGGAGCTAAATAGAAACATACCATCTCCAACCCCCAAAGGAGTTCCTGGAGCTGGGTGGGAGGGGAGGGGTAACCTGGGAGGATATCCTTGAGGAAGAAGCTGGGTGGGAAAAGGGGGCGTGGGGAAGCTGGGAAAATCAAGCAGCAGGGAAACATCTGGCAGCGATTGGAATCCTAGGGATCTGTGCAAGAAGTTGGGAAGGGAAATTGGGTCCCTCCCTGAATCTGGGGTGGGATGGGAGAGCAACCCCCCTCCTCAGGAACTCAGGGTCAAAAGAGGATCTCCCAGGGGCTACTCACTGGCTCTTGGTCTCTCTCCCAACCCTTCTCCTTTCGCCCACACAGAGGAATGAACACACACACACACACTCTCTCTCGCCCCCTTCCTTCAGCTCTAGGCAACAGTTTTCTTTTCTCCCCAGTCAAGGTTGGCTGCAGTTACCATCCCTGCCATGAGGTTGGTGTCCCCAACCCTCTGCCCACTCCCTCCCACCCCCAGTCCCCACAGAAATTGTGCAATAATTGTTCTTCTGTATTGGCTGGTGAATCTTTCATTCCTCACCCTAAAGCTCTAGGTCTGCTGAGAGACTCCACATCCGGTGTCCCCACCCACTGGAATCTGTGGGGGCTGGAGGGGTAAGGGGTTGGAGGGGGGGTTGAGAGAGTGGGAAGGACACCTGACAGGGGCTGGGATAGACAGGGCCTTTGTTTTCCTTTCCGGAGAATGAGAGGAGCTGTGGGCAGCAACACAAAACTCTTTCTAATCTGGCTTTGGCTTAGCTGCCCTCTAAGCCGAAAGTGGGGTGGCCTCTAGCAAAGGAAGAGAAGAGGGAGAGGCCTGGGCCAGCCCCACAGCAGAGCCCAGGAGGCGCCACTGTGGGAGGGAGGAAAGGGGGCAGACAGCTGGGCCATGGGAGGAGGGGTGTACGGGCTGAGACAGTAATAGCAGGGGCTCCCAATGCTTCGAGAGAGTCCCCTGGGGGGTCCTAAAATCTCAGTTTTTCCTGTTGACCCCCTACTTTCTATTATTCACCCGAGTGAAGGGAGAGGGGTGGAGAGGAGGGAGATCAGAAGCTCCAGCCACAGGCTCCTCTGCCCCTAATCTTCCCCAAAGCTGAGTAACGAAGATGAGAGCCCCTTGGGTGACTCAGTCTCTGGATTCACAACCAGGCTATTCTACTCGCTCTGCGGCGGAGGGCATCACACTGACTCTTTTCTTCTATTACTCGGCCGAGCAAGTCATCATCTGGCCACTCTTCTGGGTCACTCGGGGTCAAGAGACAACAGTCTCTGCTCCTCCCCAAGTCCTTGGTTGTTACTGGCACTCTCATTTAGGGCTGGAGTGGGGGGGTGGTCTCTGGAGACCCAGAGGAAGGGAAGAGGCAGCCTGACTCTGCTGTAGCTCCTGGCAGAGGTTCTGCCCTCACCCTCACCAGCTGTGCCACCTCTTTCCTGCCAGCTGCTCCCCGGGCCTGCCAGAGGGTGGGAGGTGGAGAAGGAGAGGGTGGTCAAGGAGGGTGCTCTCCCTCCCGCTGAAGTGACAGCTGGGCTTGGAGGGGTGAAGGGAGGTGGGCAGATGGCCTCAAGTTGGGAGCACCAGGGAAGTTACCGTGGGGAGGGGGAGGGGAATCTGGCGGCCTCCCCGACCACTGCAGCTGCTCCTCCCTGCGCAATGTTAGCAGTTGGGGCTGACCAAGCCGCTCTCCATAAAGTTAAGCTGGGTGGGGGGAGGCTGGGGGATGAGTGGAACATCTCATCGCCTCAAGAGCAGTCTGAGGGCTAGACCTCGCGGTGCCTAAACTTGAGCGGGGTGGGGAGGGGTGCTGGCGTTGATGGGAAGAGGCTCCTACCCCACATTGAGGTGATCCACCAAGGCTTCTGTCAGGCAGGTCGCTGCAGTGATAGCCTCTCGCCTCCTCTTCTCTGGGGGGAGGGGAGAAAAGGGACTGGAGTGGAGACTTGGTTTTCTGAGGGGTGATGAAGGTTCCCACCCATTCGTTACCATTCTGGTAGCTGCGGGACCATCTCAACTCATCTCAGAGGGCCAGAGCTGAAAAGGGTTTTGCAAAACATAAAGCAAGCCCTTTCCTTTGAGAGGTGAGGACACCGGGGCCCTGCGAGGGGAGGCTCCTTGCCCGGGGACGCTAGCGACTCAGTGGCAGCCCAACTCCAGACTCCCAGGCATTCTTTTCCCACGGTCGTGGCCCAAGGATTGGTAACTCCGGGGTCCCCGGGCCGGATTCAGGAAATCAAGGCGACCCCCGTTTCGGTGGTTTCAGGCCTCCAAGAATCCCATCTCTATCCGGTCCCCAACACCCTCCTCCCTTCAGGAGCGTCCCTTCCCTCCAAGATGCGAAGCTCCCTGGACCAATGGGCTCATCGTCCCACGAGCAGGGGCGGGACTAGGACGCCTGACACCGAGGGTCGGGGCGTTGCCGAGGGGGACACGATTGCTGCCAAAGGGTCCAGAGCCCGCTCGCCAGGGAATGGAATTTCCAAAAGGCTCCCCCACGCCCGTGCCCAGCAGCCCGCGCCCGTCCCTGGATCCGGCGCGTTACTCGAGGTCCAGGCTCCGGCGGCGGCTAGGCCGCGGCAGCGGCGAAGACGGCGGACGGGACGTTCGGCTCACCCTGCAGCTCCTTGCGTTCGTTCTGCTTGGCCTGGTGCTCCTTCAGCAGCCGGGACAGCATGGTCGCGGCGGGCTGGGGGCCGGGCCACTCGGCCCTCCCGCTCCGGAGCCGGACCGCTCGCTTCGGCTCCTGCTGGGCCCGAGTCACGTGACCGCGGTGTCACGTGAGGCCGGGTCCGCCCCTTTTCTGAGACGCTGGGCGGTAGGGAGTGGCCGCGGAGGGAATAGCAGAGGGGTGGGGGCGGGCGAGCGCTGGTCTTTCTGGGGGTTCTTTTTGGTGAGCGTTGGCAGGACTTTCTTTGGTGCCCACGTTGCAGAGCCGGGTTTGACATCTCGGGATCTCAGGCTCCCAAAGGGTTGGTGTTGCCAGGCTGTTCATCACTGCGCGGTCGGTGCGGGACCAGAGGCTTCCTGGACTCATTGAAATTCTTTTCCTTCCCTCGCCTTTCTCTCCTGGCAGCTCTGGCCGGTTCCGAGTTGATCTCAGCTGCCTCCTTCTGGGAGGGAAAGCCTTCCTCTCTTTTCCAGCCCTCTCTCTTCTCGCCGCCCCCCGAGGTCCCTCGGCTCTGGGTGATCATTGTAGAGAAGAAGCATTTTAGGCGCTTCGAGCAGCCTGCTAGGAGCTTTGCTAATTTGACTGACTGTGTGTGGTGAATGTACAATTCCCTCTGTGTCCTTTTGTGGTCAGGGAATGCGAACCCATTTCAGTCTTACCAGAAGAGTAAGTGCTGCTGCCAAAGTAAAAGGTAAATTATATAACCCCTCTCTGCACAAAAGAAGAGTGCTTCTGGGATTAACTCCAACAAGAAAAAATGACAAACATCATCAACATATTTTTGCTATTACGACAGTCTCTCTGGGGCACCATGTACTAACATGCTGGGTGACTTTGGGCAAGTTGCTTACCCACTCTGGATTTTGGTTTCCTCCTTAGGAAAACAAGGAGATTGGATTAAATCAGTGGTTCTCAACCCTGGCTAAATATTAGCATTACATGGGGAAGTTTTAAAAAATGCCTTGGCCACAGACTAATTAGATCTCTGAGGGGTGGAGCCAGGCATAAGTATTTTTCAAAAAGTTGTCCAGGTGAATCTAATGAGCACACAAGGTTGAGGACCGCTAGACTAAACCAGATCTAAGGCTATTTCCAACTTTGGCATTCTCTCATTTTGTGATTCACTTACATACGTCTATGTGCAGGAAGAGGAGAAATGGGTGCTGGTTGAGTTAAAATAAAACATTCTTGAATTTTCTGAGAAAGAGTTGAAGATTTCCGATTGATTGATTCATTCAGCTCTTTGCAGAATAGCATCGTAAATCCTGGGAGATGTGCAACCATCAAAGGAGTAGTTGGCAGCATAAAGCAGAACATTAAGTGCCAAAATAAAACTTCTGAATAAAAGTGTTGGATACTGCGTACGTATGTGTCTATGC